TATTGATCACATATGGAGCGGCGCTATCCACGGCACTCGACATAATTGAAAATGGCTGTAGAAATTGACAAAGTATTGATCAATACTAATCAATACCAATACCTTCAATACCCTCAACACCTGCCCAATATCAATACCCAATTCCCAAGAGTATTGGTATTGCGACATGTCTAGCTATGATGTAGAGTATTATGCACAAAATGAGAACAATACTAATGGAGTACTTTATACCAGGTACATTCATTTATAACCGTCAATATGAATGTAATTGACTAAAATATTGTAGTAAAAAAAGAAAGATGGATTTATTTCTTCTCTGTCTTTGAAAAATCACGCTATGTTTTGCGAATAAAACGAAATTGAACATTTTCAAATAACTAAATAAAATTCGTCAGACTGAGTTTTGTTAAGAATAAGAACAATCCTATACGAAGAAATCAAATAATTTCAAGAAGTATCATAAAATGCTTTTATAAATGAAATCAAACGGCAAATAATAAAAAGATATGTCTATAAAATGAGATCCAATTGATACAGATAGTCATGTAAAATTCTAATGCGTATGAAATAGATAAAAGCAATTTTTTTTATCAGAAACACATAAAGCAACTTTGCAAGTCGAGCATTCAATCGGTGATCGGTATTCATTATTTTTAGTACTATAATAGGCATATCTTCTTCGAGTCGTAGGTAATGGAAGATGAACACCAACATTAGAAAATCGTATTTCATCCGAAATGGATATTTTTCTCTCACCCTTCTTGCGTTTCTTCACACCAGAGTTGCTTATAGGTCTTCCTTTTCTCTTGTATACTAAAATTCTACATCCAATTAATTCTTCTGCAGTATCAGTTAAAAATTTCAAGTATGTAAATTTATCATTTGGATGATCTCTAAGATAAATAACATAAGCATTTGATAGCACCACGTTGAAAAAATGAAAAAATATCCGAATCGAATTCCGTCTAGATTTTCTATCAACAGCATAGTACCCAATTCGTTGATCAGCTCGATCGACTCCAACTAGGCATGCAACGGTGACGGTGAACCACCGGTTTCACCGGCCACCGGTCACCGGTCACTAGTGCACGGGTCACACCGGTTCCACCGTATCACCGGTCCACCGGTTCATCAAATTATTCATTCACTTTTATCAGCGGTTAATGAATACTTTCAAATAACTGTTGTTATGAAAAGAAAAGTTGGAAACTGAAATGTAATAAATAGGTGGTTGTAGCAAAAAACTATGATCATATAAATTTTCCAACAGGAATATACGTACGAGTAATACTGGAAAGTTTAAAACACTTTCCTCGACTGGATAATATATTATTTCTATATATACCACCAGTGCGTGACTTGATATTGACTAAAATATATCAGTTCATAAGAAGGCCAACTTCAATTGTTAATTCCAACCGATTCTTATGAAATTTTATTAATTTACGTAAAGCGGGTTCATGTTCGATGCAAGAAAAGCATACGAGAAATTAGAATCATATAATTCCTTTCGATAGCAAAGTCTAGTTTACTGACATCTACGATCACTATATGCTTATTGCTTTCTGTTCAACAATTTCAATGCTGTATATAACAAGCGGTGATTGAACCGTTTTTCTTATTCTGCACGAATCTTAATAGCTATTGACCAATCTATTTTAATTACAAAATCGACTCGAACCGTTATATATATATATACATCAATAGTCTATTTGGCTGTCGCAACGTTATCGTAATCTCTTTTGCTCTACTTACTTGTTCGTTTTTCCTTGAATAACTTCTCGGAAAGAAAATGAAGCAAGTTTTTGAGACCAAGTTAGCGGAATTTACTGTGCACATTGAGTATCTGCTAGTTATAAGCATGTGAATATCTGCAGCTACAGCATTCGTGTAAAATTCACTCAATTGGAAACGACAATTGACGTGCCTTTCATTGAAGAAATCTTTGATTTTCCTCTGTTGAAACTTACAAATAAAATTCCTCATATATGTAAATCGTTACACCTCTGTTTTCAGACAGAACGACATCGAACAAAAGCAATACGACTTATGAAACTTGTATTATATTTTCATAATCGAAACAGTGAACATACGTATATACCATGACAAAGAAGCGATCACCGAAAAATACTCATATCATCGCGACAACGCTCGCCGACACCGATAATGAAGACGATCAACCGGCGCCGCAAGCATCTCAAACAAAGTCCCAATTAACATCTGCATCCGCAGAAGTTGCACAGATCAACTCATCAGCATCGCCGTTCACTGGGGTCAACTTGAATGGATCAGACATGAACATTGACATGTCAACTCAAACATCATCATTGGATAAACGTTCTGTTAATCCGAATCTCTCCTCGAAAGTGTGGCTATATGCAACGAAATTTACTGATCATGACAGCGATAGCCAACAAGCCAGTTGCCACTTATGTGATTATACATGTTCATGCAATTCTCATTCCACATCAACAATTAGACAACATCTGATTTCCAAACATAGCAAAGCGGATTTAGTGATAGAAAAACAAAATTCTTCGAAGTCCAAAATGTCAGAAGCTTTAAAACAGAAATTGCATCAACTTTGTTATGCGGCAATTGTAAAAGATAGTCGTTCATTCAATGACTTAAACAAAAGTGGAATCAAGGCAGTATTCAAGAAACTGTGTCCTGGTATGTGTCTTTTCATTTCAAGAATGTAGTACTTTTCGAAATCTTCCCATGAAACAAAAAGTTGATTATGATACAATTGTATCAGGATAGTCTCTCTCCCCAATGAAAAAATCATTAAAATTCAACCAATGTATTTGTCTATTTTGAGCAAAGGAGAAAATGAACCATGGTGGATTATTATCGGCTCCTGTAAAGAATTAGGAATGCCGTGAATCATTTACTGCAAGACTCTCTATGCCAACATGTGATGGAACACTTCGATTTTGAGTACTGGCAGTTAGCTGCAATATTTGAGCAAACGACAGTCTTGGTTGACATAACCTTAGGCATCGACAAGATTTAAGAAGCATTTCAAGATACTTCTAAAGATAAGTCTTTCTTTTGGTTTCAACGATCTTTGTTGTCTCTATTAATCTGTCGCTACGATTTCTTCTTTTATTCTGCGCATTATTCCGCTTAGGCTGTACTCTCGAATGTGCCTCATTTAGATTACACACCGCCGCACAGAAATCAAGTTTCTCGACAACTGGGCGTTTTATACAAGCATCACTATGATCTATTAGTTGATGAATTAAAACAAGTGCGTTCGTTGAGTATTACACTCGACTTTTGGTCAAATCATCGATGCCAATCATTTCTTTGTATAACTGGTCATTGGGTCAGCGATAAATGGGAAACAATCTCGAAAATAATCAACTTCTCTGTTTATACTAACCGACACACGGCTATAGAAATTGCCGAAACCTTGGAAGCAAAACTCATTGCTTTAGGTATTCTTGACAAAATCATTTGTATCACATGTGATGGTGCAAAAAATATGAAATTGGTGTGCGAATATTTGAGCGACGATATACCGAGATTGTGGTGTTGTGCCCACCGATTACATCTGGTTGTTATTAATGGTTTAAGTTTTTGGATGCGAAACGAGAAACTAAACGAGATATCTAAACAAAATTCTTCGACAAATTATTCAACAATTAACCGTAGTACAACTGCTGACTCCAATGCTTCTATTTCGAACAAGAATAATACAAACATTAATTGGGATGAGGAACTAAACGACAGTGAGTAGTTCTATCTAATTAAAGCTTATTTATATGAGTTAACTGATCGTTCTCAATCACTTTTGTTTAGAAGCGTGGTTAGTCAATAAATCTAGTTCAAAGAATACAACGAATGAAACTGAAGTCGTTGTTGGCTTAGAAACGATCACTGATGATGACGACAACGATGATGATTATGAAAATCTCGATGACTTAATAGAAGACAATTGGACGACTGGTTTCCAAGCTGATGGCAATCCGACTGAATATCAAAAATGTATTATGAAATTGTTGATCAAATGTCGAGCTGTGGCGAAGATTACTAAAAAGCCATATATAATCTCTGAATTCATCCGTAATGAGCGACAACTTACCGATCAATACGCAACAATTCGAATCGATTGTAAAACGCGATGGAATTCGACGTATATTTTATGCCACTCTATGATTACATCGAAACACGTGATTATTCCCTCTACTGAAAGGAGGGTTATGCGTCGAGCAGATACTACCAAAAAAACGAGTTGATGTTGGTCCTTCCGTCCAGAGGTGTGCGGGGCAGCAATTTTTCATGCCCCGCGGGATCCGACCTGTGACGCTTGCTGACCCGCTCCGCCCGTCCCGCGCAAATTTTGTTCTTGGAAGTCCCCGACCCGCTCCGTCCCGTACGTTTTCTAACCCGTCCCGCCCGACCCGTTGGTACTGCATCATTACCCCGCCCCGTCCCGGCCGCGCTCCGGCCCCGTGAGACCCGAACGAATTTTTTTATTTTTTAGATTAATTGCTTTTTTATAATTTATTATACATAATTGCTCAGTTTATTAAAAAAATATTGGAGAAAGTTTGTAATTGATTGATTCCATGATAAGCAGCTGCTCGAACGAGTATAATATCACTCACTCTGGGTGAATCGTACATAGTACTATTCGATGAACTTTTATTAGATGCAGCACCAGTCTTTGGAGATGAATAAGATGTATCTGATGATTTCATATCATCAAACGATTCATCAGATGATAAATCATGTAGTTCAATCATTGCTATTGATAGGACAAATTTTATTACAGGTGTCAATTGAAGAAAATAACTGATAATTAGTTCTCGTTTCACCTTACAATGGAACCAAACAATAACTATTCAAGCTGCATATTGGTCAGTAATAAAGATATAAAGAAGAGCAAATAGACTGTTGTTGATAGGTTGAAAAAAATTAACCAGTCATTGTTTACTATTCGAATATACGTTAAAAAAAGCGATATCTGTTGCTGTTGGAAATTTTTCACGGTCTTCTATTCATCCCCGAAAAATGTCGTCCCCCGCCCGAACCCGTATCTCTTTGTCCCCGTCTGCCCGAAGTCCTCGTCTTTTTGTCTACGGTCGTACCCGCCCAGATCGTCAAATCACTGTCGGAACCCGAACCCGACTCGACCCGAATAAATTAAAAAATTTTCGTTCCCGACCCGCCCGTACCACGTGGCCCCGCAGGTCAATCCCGTGGACCGCACACCTCTGGTCGCTACCACAGTCTGCTCCAGGAAATGCTTTAGAAGAGATGACTGAATTCCTGAATCGATGACAGACCATAATGTAGTCTATTTGATTTCTCGTACGGTCTCCAGGGCTTTTCCATGTCCATAGTCTACGTGGGTGGTTCTTGAACCATGTATTAGTGATGACGAGATTATGTGATTGACACCAGGCTATAAGATTATCACCTCTCTCGTTTTTGGCTCCTAGACCAAAAGGTCCTACTGTGTTGCCAACTCTTTCGTTTCCCACTTTCGCATTGAAATCACCCATCACGTAGACGATGTCATTAGAGTTGCATTGTTTGTATGCTTTGTCTAGATCTTCATAGAAATCCGTGATTGAATCGTCATCATAGTTAGCTGTTGGTGCATATGCTTGGATGATGGAAATATTGAAAGGTTTACCGTAGAGCTTCATAAGAAGTACCCTGTCCGAAACCGCCCAGTAGCCTTTTATGCTTTTAGATGTTTGTTCGTCTAAAAGCATGCCTACTCCTCTCTCATGTTGATCTCCTCCAGAGTAGACTAAGGTATAGTCACCTGTTGCGAAGGATGCAGCTCCTGTCCATCTAACTTCGGACAGACCTAATACATTCAGCTGCAATCGTTTCATTTCCTTCTTTACATTTTCTAACTTCCCTTTTTGAAACATAGTTCTTACATTCCACGTTCCTATTCTAAACGAGTTCTTAACTTGGACAGTAGCCTGTTGACGATCGAGTGTCACCTGTCGGACATGACCATCTCTACCGAGCGAGGTGTTCTTAGACAGAACCCCGTTCACGCTGTTATCTAGACTGGAATTTTTGACGTTTATCATGTTGTGCTTGGGATTGTACAGCGGTGGTTTCCCCTTGCCTTCCGCCGGGTTGAATGGTTTTCTCCATTTGATGAATCGTTAACCATGGCTAACGCACTTCACCTTTTGTGGCTAAGGCTTGTAAAACTTAGTTCCAATGAACCTTGTTTCTGGCGGCCTATATTCGCCTTGTTTTTCTTGCTGTCTTTGGGCTTCTGTAGCATTTTATAGGGGTTTTGATGCCAGCCAAAACTCCACCACACCCTGCTAGCAAGAAGTCTGAATTGTCCGGGACTGCTTATTGGAACAATTGCTTGTTCTTATTCGCAGCTAACCATTCTACTAATGGCCGTTCCACTATCCGCAACCTGTGGACCCGCTTGGTAGCATTCAGCCTAGCCCCAAGACACCTTATTATATAGGTCTAAAATACTCTCATAGAAGCGGATAGATGCGTAAAGTATGAGAAAGAAAAATTTATATTCGAATATTAAGAGAAAACCAATGTTATATTATGGGGTCCGATTGGACCCTAGGTGGGAGTTTCAGGGTCAACAGTACTGAAGTGTATTAACCGAAAAAAAAAACAACGAAGACTATATTTTGTTTTGTACAAGTTAAAAAAATAGATTCAACTTGAAAAATCTTATTTTTTTGAATAAACGAGAAAAATTTACAACAGAATCCTCCCAACATGATCTATATAAACGGATGGCATTCGAAAGTTTTTGATGGCAACAAATAGGTATAAAGAAACGATGAAATTGTCAACACTCTTTTATTATTCTTGAGTAAGAAAGCGATCGACTCTGAAGTGACTAGGAAAGCAGCGCATGGTATTTTCTGTTCCCACAAATGACAATATTAACAGCACATTCTGATGTCAATGCTTCGTCAAGAAACGAAAAAATCGTTAGTATATTATCATAAATAGTCATCCGATGACGTCATATGTTTTTTTTTCTTGCGCGTTCTATTATTTTTACTTAGCATAACTCAATACGAACGCACATTGAAAAGAAATACTATAAGACTGCAATTCACATCGTTTGAAGTCGATTCATTTTTCGAAATTTTTCTTTCGGTGTCAACTGTGGGTAAGTAGCTTTCTTTCGTTAACACCAAATCTAGATGAGAAAAAATAAACCACGTTTACTCGACAATACCGTTAGTGTCAGCTTGCTTTAAGAAGTTAACATAAAACGCCATATTTATGTGAATGATACAGACTGGTGGACATATACAAATAGTCATTTTGTGATTGTAGGTGTAATTCAATTGGTGACAGCCATGAATCTGAAGATAATGTCGTTCAACATTGCTGCTTGTCGTGAACCATCTCGTGGTAGCGTGAGTGTAGCACGTACGATTACGCAAGAGCAACCAGACTTGGTCGCTCTGCAAGAAGTTGATAGATTTACACGTCGATCAGGTACCGAAATCGATCAGTCATCAGAACTTGCCCGTCACGCACAGTTTCCTCATGTATTTTACATTCCTTCGATGAACTTCGACGGAGGACAGTATGGAAATACTATTCTGTCACAGCGTCCTTTCGACACGGTCGCTCTGGTACAGCTCGATGGACGTGGTCAAGGTGAAACACGATCGATGGGGGTTGTTTCCGTAAAGATAGACGCTAATCAGCAAGTGTTCTTCGCTGTTATACATCTCGAACATGAAATCGTCAGTCTTCGAGAAAGGCAAGTGAAAGATGCGATTGAGTTCTATCGAAAAAATCACTTTCAAAACCAGCCATTCATTCTGGCTGGTGATTTCAACGACGAACCAAATAGTCAGACAGTTCAGTTTCTACTGACAGAAGGAGGCTTCCAATTACCGCTTGATCAATGTCCAAAAACATATCCAGCTGATAATCCTGCAATGACAATTGATTATATCTTTGCGAATGAGAAAGCGGCGGAAATGTTTGAAGTGAAGGCTTATCGAACATTGAACGTGAATATATCATCAGATCATGTACCAGTCATTTTGGAACTGAAGAAGAAGTGACGATTAGTCAGGCTAAGTTTCTCTGTTTTCTTTAATTTTATTAATAAATATTCGAGATTGCATGGATAAGGATAAAGTTCATAGGGCGATATTCTTGTGCAACATACACCAACACGTCTTTGAGGGCGTGTATGTGTGCACGATAGGTAAATTCATTCACCTTGCAAAGTACGAATTAATGTGCTTTTTTTGCATAGTTTAATACATTAAGAGATAATCATAATGTCATCGATTTTCTATTAGTTCGTCTTAATTTCCACATTGATAAAATATTTCGACAAGAAATGAACAATAATAACGATTTTTCTATTTTGCTCTGCTCTTGATAAATTCAAGGACAAATCTGCCCTTTTAGGAATATTATTGAACAAAACATGCATGCAGAACATTCAATTATTACACTTCGTAAACCTCAGTCGACTATGTTCTTTCTGTATTCATCTCATTCAGGTTTAATGAATGGGGAATAATGACTTGCGGTGCAATTTAATTGGCATTTCTTATGCAACATTTACATCAAAAGTTAAGAGAGTTTTGTAACTAAACCTATCCTTTTCTCGTTAAAGAGTTTCAGCTCTTAAAATTCCTGGAATGCTTGACGAAAGAACTTTATTAACTTACTGGGTTGCCTGTGCATTACTGTTGAGAATGATGAAAACATTTGAACATACGAATTCTCAATTATTTGCGTGCTTCAAACATAAATATTACAAGTGTTTGAGTACCAATAAATATATTCCTCGATCAGCAGCTTCACACGGAAAGTGTGATTCTCAAGCCGATGCGGTTCTTTATTGTGAAGATGAAGATACGTATAGCATCTTTATTCAATAAACTATTTCTTTTCAGACAACTTGAGATGGTTTTCAAGGGTTATATTCAATAACCATCGATGGAAGGAAATCACACAGATGAAACCGAATATGAATAATGGAAATGTGATGATATTTATACTCATCGTGATCCAATATGAAATAGTGCAAATGGAAAAGTTGAAATGAATTGTAACGGACAGCCCTCATTCATTAATTGTTCTTCAGATTCGCAAATGTGTGTTATATTAGACACGTATTCATTAACACGTTTACCGATTAGCCAATTTAATAATAAAAATAAAACCGATTGTGTTGGTGGTACTGGGGAGCGAATATTATGTCGAACTCCTTATAACAATTAAGATGGCAACCTTTATTGTACGATAAAAACTATAGGAAGGAAGTGTTGTGTGTTTCAATGGAGATAATGAACACTTCTGTCGAACATAGTCTTATTTTCCTGTACAACTGAACCGTTGTGGAGTACCCAATGCAGCATTATTTTCCGGTGTTGAAAGATTCTGATGTGATGCGTCACGTATGAAATGGAAACGAACAAAAAGATATTTTTTACGATGAATGAGTTCAATCCCTCAGCTGAAAATGAGATCAACGACAAGCTACAAACTCTTGTTATCCTTTGAGAGATTTATAAGCCAATTCCACTTCTCGATGTTCCTCGCTAACATCGCGATCTTGATCTACGTGTTTTGTTCAATAAATCGTCAAATTCTTATACAAGTACATGTCTTTGTCCTTCAAATTATTATAGTTCATAATGTCAATACTAAAATCGATGTATGAGTTTATTAATCCGATTTCAAACTCCGGCTCAATTCCGACCACCTCTATTTGCAATCTTAATTATGCTTATTGATAATACAAATCAACGAAGAATCCATTCTTAGGAACAATTTACTTATTTATCCATTCGAGATTGTTAAGTAAAATTCAATCTTCACTTACTTTATTCAGCTCGACCGAAACAAACGAATCAAACATGCGCAACCCATATTGATACCTGTGACAAACTTTCTCTTTCATGCATACCGCGAGGAAGTCTTCATTATCCTGTAAAATTATTCTTTTTACCTGTTCAGTGATTGACATTTATCGTCAATATTCCATCCGAATCTGATTATTCTTGTTCAAAATAAGAAATGTTTCCATGCAAAATGCGTCAACTATTTCCACAGTTCATTCGAACTTTTCAGATGGCAATGATTAGAAGTAAATGGAATCTTGTTTAGCCTCTTGTAAGTACACTATATTGTTCTGTTTCGTAAAGAAAACTTCTGTTGCACAACTCATGCACAATATAATAATCTTCGAAACCTAAAGAATTTTTTTCTAGTTATTTTTTCGATATTCATAAGGTTACGAATCTTCTACATATTTCCAAAAACGATAAAAAAAACATAGCTTCGACTAAGATGTGAGTTGGAACGATCAAAATCGGCAATACATAGAAGAATAAATCAACTGGAGGTTAAACTAAAATAGAAATAATATGCAAACAAATCTATCATTTATATCATTGCTTGATATAGTAATCAATGCAGCATGTTCTTATTTCCTTCAGATATGTCATTCTGCGTGCAAATTATCTGTATAATGCTTATGTAGTGAGGAAAACAACAGCATATCCGTTGTTAGTTATATGTATAAACAAATATTTGTCATCGTAAATGTATCGATAGGCTCAAATAGCACATTAGCCTTTTTCGCTTTCTTCAATCTTTTTGTAAACTTCATCAATATTACCTGACGATTAAATTATTACATA